AAATGCTGAAGTTTCCAAATTAGCTAGAATAACTTCGTATTGATTGACAGGTTTCAGACATGCATTTGATGTGTATTACATATTCGTTTTATTTAAAATTATAACTTCAAGAATAAAGGCAAAGTTACAGATGTTAAAATAGGAATATGCAGAAGTGCTATCTAATCCTTAGGAAAATGCATGTGTATTTAGTGCTGTGTTTATCAAGTTAGTCCCTGGGGTACATATCTTTTACCAGAAGAATTATCCCTAAGGCATCCCTGCAGATGCAGAAAACAGGTGAATTGACCATGATACCCATAAATAATTTAAAAAATTATTTGCTAATAATATAATTTACGAGAAGTAAACTTGTAATAAGTTTAATAAGCATAAAATAAGGAATTTACAAGATACTGAAATGTTTATAACAATCCAAAATTATTTACAAAACACAAAAGCCACTTATCAGTATAACAGCTCTGAAGTGGAGACACAGAAATGGACCAATGTTACGCATTTTTTTTTTTTTTATTTGAGGAATAATATAAAGAGCAAGATGGCAAAAAGCTATTTTCCTTCTCTTAAGGTGAATAACAATCCTTTTTGGACTGTGTCTTCTTCTGATTATACCTCAGATTCAGTACAACCACATATGTTTGAAAAATTTCAACCATGCTTTTACAAGCAAGCAAATCTGTAACTGAAAAATTTGCCAGGCACCGTGTGTGTCTGTGTTGCTGTGCTAAAAAGAAATAAATTTTCTCAGTGAGGAAGCTCAGTTAATCCATTTGTACATTTAAATATGTTGTTTGTGAGTTGTATTTCCATGTGTATTGTGGTGCCTGTGTTTGAAAACATTGGCTGTTTCCACTTTCAGGATGGTGGAGTGAAAATAAATATTTCCTTCTTCTTTTCCTATTTGGTCTTGTGAGAGGAGTGGATGGAATTTTATGGAATTTCCTAAAAAATAAATTCTTTCTTTCCCTTGTCTGTACAAGCTGGCTTAGCTTGTTGGTTTCTTATGACCACTGGCCCTTTGCCTTCAAAGCTCGATGTCAGTTAGAACCAGTTAAGAGCTGATGTATTGTTTGTACAAATTTTACTTGCAGAGAGTATAGGGTGAGTGTGGTTAAAAAATAAAATGGAGATTTAATTTTTTTTTAATCTTCACATCAGTTTCAACTTTATTGCTTTCCTCATTGAGAAGTAGGACTTCCAGTTTTCAAGGTTGTCTTTTATATACACATTTGCACACATGTATAAATATTAAATTTATATTTAATATGTTTCTATTACTTTTATACACATAAACACACACATATATATAACTGATATAAGATGAATAGACTAAGTAATGATCTTTTATAAAACTGACTGTAGTATTTTTTGTTTTCCTCTGCACTATTTTATTTGTGAGGTTAAAACTACCTTTTAAGCTAAGGTACTTGAGTTCTCATGTTGAAGTGTTCAGTAATTGACAATAATTGTTCCCAAAATTCTATCTGGGAGCAGCCTTCTTTTGGCCAAAAGAGCCGTAAACTCAAAGCAGAGCATTAAATCCATATTTAATTTCCAGGCAGAGATACCTGAGCTAATCTCCTTGGGGGCTAAAAAAGCCTTAGGAACACTGGGCTCACTTGAGTGCTTCACCTATCCCAGTTAGTTCAGCCTGAGTTTGAAACTACTAGAAGAGATCTGGAGAAAATGTTCTTGGAGAGACGAAAAAAATTTTAAAACCCTGTATAGATCTGCGAGAAAGACCAGAGTGGGAGCACTGTGTTTCACAGAGTCCAGATATTGTTTGTCCAGCTGAAATGTATGAAACATCTTATATATTCTTGGAAGCTATAAAGTGCTTTTAAGACCCATTGTCGTGATGAATGTCTTCTGCTCCTTTCACAGGCTCATCTAGTAGCAGCTTTCGAAAAGAGCTTGGGAAATATGACTGGCCGATTGCAAAGTCTAACAATGACAGCTGAACAAAAGGTACGTTTACCAAAGCAGATGCTTTAATGTGGAAAACAGTCAGCAGGTTATATTAGAGTTTTGTTTAAAAAACACTGAAAGGAAATAGGGACAGCTGTGACAATAAGACAGACAGATCTTTCTTTAATGGCCGTTGTGATCAAATCTTCATAAAGCTCCAGGAGAATTAAACTGTGCAGCATCAGGTTTACCCAGACAATATCATAAAATAGTTTGAAGATAAAATCTTTCATTTCTAGATTTTAATTAAAACATATGTGACTCTAGGTTTAATCCGTACTGAAAGATCCTGTAACAAAGACTGATCATAACCTGCTGGAGTGCTGCATTCCAGCCTGCTTGCATTGTTGGAATAATAGAATTATGGGAAGGGAATAATTTTAAGTAGAGAAAAATTACTCCATTCAGAATGTTAATGGAGGTTGGGTATCCTATTCATGAGGAAACAGTTCAGGTTTTCACTGTGCTGTTTTGACTAGTGGGGAAAAAAATCTAAACCTGACAGGCAGTAAACTTAATTGAGCCTTTGTACCAAGCTCAGGATTGCAAGGCTGCTTAGCACCTTCTAGGACTAAAATTCTGCAGCTTTCTGCCCTTATTCATTTTGAGCAGTATCCTCTAAATGGAAAGGCCTCCTTGAGCCAAACTGTGAAAGACTGTATATCAGTGATCTATTAGTCACCATTGGAGTCAGTGTAGTTGTCTATAAAAATAACATTTCACAGTCTGGTTGAGCTCCAACAGATGAAATATAGTGAGACTCATTGTGAGCTGGGTAGAAAATATTTGTGTTCCTTGCTTTTTTAAATCTTAAACAACAACAACAACAACAACAACAAAAAAAACCTCCACAATGGAATTGTCTTAAAACAAAAACTTTTGACTATTTTAGAAAGCATCATTTCCCTTAGAAGATTTTCTTTCCGGAAGAGTTTAAGAAACGACATTGAAACAGATCATCTCCAAGCTTCTTTCTCAAAAGATTTGCAACGAGTTCTTTTCCTTCTCTTCTTTTCTCTGTTTTTAAGTTCCGTTAATCCTTATTATATAAATACAGACTGAAAGGACAGGTTTAATGAAGTAGTAATAAAAGCTATTTTTTAATTAAAATTGACTAGGCATTCTAATACAGAATTTCGTGCACTCAAATGGAGTAATTTTACTTCACCTTGCAGGACAGTTGCTACTAAACAGAGAATTTTTGATTGAATTATTATTTAGCAAGTTAAATCTTTTGAAAAATACACAAATTCAGGTTGAGATGCATCCATTAAACAGTAGTCTCACATACTAAAAGATGTAATTAAAATGGTTTTATTGTCTTTTGCAATAAAATTGTTGGGTTTCTCTTAACTTTATAATGAATATTTGATTGAGACCCTTTTTAGAGTACCCTTTATTAAAGATGGTGTTTTCTCCTTAAAAATAACATGATTGCTTTATATAGAATAAATGCGAAAGTATAGATTAGTTGAGTTTAGCATCTCTGGCAAGAAAATACGCATTCTACTTAGTTGTTGCCCTTATGTTCACCCAAGCAGTCCCATGAACTTCAGTTTGACCACTCTTGTCATTGTTTTTTAGCTTAGACAAACATTGTTTTTGTGCCATATATTTTGAGATCTCTATGCTCTTCTCACAGGAATCTGAGCTTATAGAGCTAAGGGAAACCATTGAAATGCTGAAAGCCCAGAATTCTGCTGCACAAGCTGCTATTCAAGGAGCCTTGAACGGTCCTGATCATACCCACAAAGGTATGTTTTTGTCATTGTTAAAATAAATGCAGAGTTTCTCCCCAGGGGAAAAAAAAGTAAAAAAATAAAAAAAAAAAGCTAAGTCACTACTTTTCTGTTGTTTTGGGGACTCTGTTGCAAGAGCAAGCACATTCTACAGTGCATGGTAGGCATACTTGTGGTATTTCCAGAGCTAGAAATGTTGCACGTGCTTCCTGTTTGCCACAGAGTTAGTTCCTGGAGCCTTGTCTTCTCAGAACTGGGTGGCCAGGAGTCAATTGCTGGACATCAAGAGTTAGCCCTGTCACTGCAGTTGTGTCTTGAAGTACTCCCAAGACACTAGTGAAGTCTTATGGCGAAACATGGTTATACCCTGGAAACGCAGCATAAGATGTAGCTCTGAAATTTGCTGTACTTATTGTTAAGAGGTGGACTGACAACAGCTCAGCTCCTTCATGAGGTGCTAAACCAGTGCAGGAAAGCAGGCATTTTAAATTCCAGATTCTGAGTTAATTTGTCATTGCAGTTAGGCAGACATCACATGATAAATATGTACTTCAAAAGTGCCTGTTGGTAAGCAAGAGAAAAGGAATTACTTGAAGAAAAAAATAATAGCAGCATTCATTTTTGAGAGTGTCATTGATCTTTCTTTAAAGAGGTCGTTATGTAGATGCTTGCCCTAAGGTCAGTTCATTGCATGACTTGACTATAGCAAAGCTAACTTCTAGGAAGTAAATACTAACCTAAAAAATAATTTCCCTTGCTATTAGTGGGAATGTTCTGCAAGAATATTTTCCAGTATTTAAGGTATAGTTATCAGAGACTTTTAAGAAACTGAAACTCAAAAGCCTTACCAACCATTTCTAATATTCTCCACTTCTTGGTTGTTTTGTTTCATTCATTCTTATCAAACTCCTGCCTGCTTTTTTCCATCATAGCATATTAGAAGGTAGCATCTGAACACTTGCTTAGGCCTGCTACAAGTCAAGTAGGGCCTGCCTATACCCCTCAGTAAAAGAACTGTAGTACGTTCTATTAGTAGGTTAAGTAATCCGTATGTAACAGAAGCTGCTTAGCTATGAGGTTATGCCTGCCTAGATTACTGTGCAGGGTCATTGCCTTCACACCAATAAGACCCCAGTTTAGAGAAGTTCCTAAGTGTTAGCCTAACTGTATGCATCCCCATTGACTCCCATGCGGTTTCTCAGAGGCTGCAATAGATTAAATACAAGCCACTGCAACAATCAATGCCATTTATGTTCATCTAGGCTTCCTTTGAGGAGGAAGATACTACATAATTACAAGAATGATTATTATACTGAAAAAGAGACAGGTGGATTTCACAGTATTTTCTTTTCTTTAGATCTACGTATAAGGCGGCAACATTCTTCCGAAAGTGTTTCCAGCATCAACAGCGCTACAAGCCATTCAAGCATTGGCAGTGGTAACGATGCTGACTCCAAGAAAAAGAAGAAGAAAAACTGGGTAAGCTCTCAGCAGGTCTAAACCTATCTTTTAGCTATTATGTCGTTTCCTAGTGCCTGAGCGGCATAATGGCCCATTTAATCTACAATATTCTTCTGGGGCCAGAGAAGCACGAAGCAATTCACATGTATATGTACTGTGACACTCCCAGCAAATGAAAAATTGTTGACTATCAGTAGGGAATTATTTGCATGAGTCAGGACAATTAAAAAAAAGAAACAACAAATAAAACCAAAAAACTTAAAATAGGTGTTGTGACCAAAACCATCTCTGGGCCACAAACCCTGGTTGATTTTTCTTAAGTCGGAGTTTGATTCAAAGGCTTGACTCATATATGTTACTCAGCTATGAAGGGAGTTAAGAAATCTGTTAAGGGTTCTCATGTAAAAGTAGTATGGTGTTTAAAGAAATTAAGATGCTTCTTAACCAGCACACACAAATACCACAGAGTGCTAAGGGTTTAATCAAATACTTTCAGTAAATAATCAGAAAATATGTTTTTGTTGTTTTAAAAATATTACCTGCATAAACATTTGTTTTAAAATACTGATCAGCCTTCATTCCCTTGATTTGTAATTCCACACTCTAAAAAAAATTTCTGCAAGGTGAACTCTAGAGGAAGTGAGGTGAATATAAACCATGGAAAATTTGGCATGCATCTATAAAGAACCCTATCTTGGCATGATTGCTATTTATTTTGGCAGTAGGCTTTTATACTTTCTAAAAACAGATTATCCTGTATGTCTTCTCAGTTTGTCTCTATTCGTTTTAATCTCGAAGTTTAGACTATAGAAAGGGGGAGTGTAGCCAAAATCCATTTCTTTCTCGTTAGATATCATGAGCTGGAAAGGACTTCAGTAACATTTCTCTGATCAGTGGTCACACTCCCCACTCTCCAATTATATAATGAAAATCAAATGTTTTAATACTTCATTTTTGTAGAGGAAACAGTTTGTCATTGAGTTCCAAATAATTTTAATCAGAAAGATTTTCTGATAAAAACAAAAACCAACCATGAACAATTTTAATCAGAACGATTTTCTGATAAAAACAAAAACCAACCATATTTTTCCAAAGATGAACACCTTCTGTAATTAGACAAAGGTATCAATGAATGGGCTAGTTAAAATTCACTGCAGACAAAACTGTTGTCATCTTGGCTCCTGAAAAAAATGGCTCTTTGGCTATTCTGTCCCTTTTCAATACTGGATAAGAGCTTCTAGAGGGAAAAGACAATGCTTTTATGTTCAGAGATCTTACTACTTGAAAGGAAGCTGCAGCAAAGATTATATACCTCTCAGCTAACATTCTTCTCAGCAGTACAACAAAGCAAGCCTCATGTCCCAGCTTAAATCCTCTCGCTTGTGATCCAAACCATAGCATTTGCATAGTTTGTCCATTCAAATTTTTAACAGCAAAAGTAAATTGGCAAACCCAGTAAATTGGACTTGACTTTTCATTTCAGCATTTAGTAACAGCAGGTTCTGCCTGTACCTAGATGCAAAGTGGTTATTTAAAGCCAGCCCTTGAAGGGAATGCCATGGGAATGGGATTCCACTGGGGCTTAATGGTTTTAAATGAGCACCCCTCTCCCATAGCTGTACCACTCAGTCCTGCACTTTTTCCATAGCATTACGTTTGCGCTGCGCTGGATTAATAAAGTCAAAACAAAGCACTGTATCATGTTTTTAGAGATACTGTGTTGCATATGTTAATACCTTGCTTCTGTATACTGACCTCAGGCAGTGGCTAGGATGGCATCTGCAAACTAACTCTTCAAAACATGAGCTGCGCACAAATTGCCATGACGAGGAAAATAATCTTACTCTGTGTTTGTTTTCCAGCTAAGAAGCTCTTTCAAACAGGCCTTTGGAAAGAAGAAGTCCACCAAGCCTCCTTCCTCACATTCAGACATAGAAGAGCTGACAGACTCCTCTCTTCCTTCATCACCCAAATTGCCCCACAGCTTGGGAGAGTGTGGGGCAACATCAATGAAACCATCACAGTCAGCATCTGCGTAAGTCTCTCTTGGCAAACCTTTCTTCCCAAATGGGGTGGACTGTGAAACAGACCTCCTCAAGTGTGGCCATTTGCAGTTCAGGAACCACTGCCAACAGCCGTGATTTTTTAATCTTGTGCTCCATCCATTTCTTGACAGATTTCTTGAGAGCTTCACTGCATTTACACACTGCTTTTCCAGAAGCCATCTCTTAGGTCATTCTCTCCTCTTTTCACAGACTTTAGCCAAAATCATCTAGCAGTACAAACTTCTTTCCAAATACATATCCAAAAACATATGTTGTGCTCTCCTTGCACCATTAACAACTTTATCATATTCACTTAGTAAAGGCCAAATGCTGCAGTTTCTTTTCTTCATGACATTCTAAAAATGTCTTTGTATTTTCCAGGTAGCTATGAGTTTTTACAAGATGCTCACCCCTTCTGTTATTACTTTATCTACTTTCAACCTACTAATTTGTATGATTTTTTATCTATTTTGCCTCTTTTATAAGCATGGATTTTTTTGTACTATTTTACTTTCTATTTCTTTTTATTCAAATCATCGTCTTTACAATGTGGGAGCTGAGGACAAGTCATCAGTCAAAAGCTGTTGCGTTTATTCTTTTTTTTTTTTTTTGATGTCTAAAATATTCTTCTTAGGGAGTTCTCAGCTCCCATTCATATTCCTCTACCTATTTTTTTTTTTTCATTCTGATAAACTCATTACTTTTTCCAATTTGGAGAAATCAACCTCTTTGAACCAACAAGTGCATACTACTGATGCCAGCCTTGCTTTCCTTGTCCTAATTGAGAATAATCAGGTCACAACTACTCTTTCTTCAAGTGCCCAGCAAATTCTAGTCTCATGACTGATTACTGAACTTTAGAACAGAATTTCCCAAAGTTAGGTAGGTGTTTTTTATTATTAGCTTTTTATACACTCTAGTGATTTTTATATACAAGATTTAGGAGTTTGACAACATATATTCTCATAAAAGAAACCCCTCTACAATAAATGTTTTTATTTTCTCACATTCTGTAATGTAAAGGGAGAAGTAACTCATCTAGAGCTCCAGTTTTGTTGAGTATTTTGTAGGCAGGTCACACTTTTATGGTTTCAGGTGTTTTGAGAGATGGATTTCTACATTTTTGGGACCCTTGAGTCTGATTTGCTAGCACCTTAATAGTCACTAGTAAAAGCTTTAATAGAAAGTGTCTGAACTTCTTTAACAAATTACTTTTATTCTACAAAATCATCTACTCATGATTCACAAATCTGCTTTCATAACCTTATCCTATTTTCTTTCCTCACACTCTGCTTTTTACTCTTTCTCTTTGACTTGCTTTCTAGATATATTGGTGTTCCCGAAATTTATCATGCGTAAAACTACATATCTAGTCTTTCGTCCAAGGCTCTTCCCATGGCTATTTGGTCTCTGAGCCTTAACTTCCTAAATCCTGTCCAGTTCACAGCCTGCTGGTTCATCCTCCATAACATTTTTAGACACTGATCTTTCTGATAATGTTATCACATTTGTTATTATTGTGAGCTTTCTACACAGGATAACATAGATTCCTTCCCTTCCACTGAGAGATCATGTAAAATATATTATTTAGATTAATTTCTTTTTCTGTTATACTGAATGTTACTCAGTTTTCCACTGATTAATAATTAAACTTCTGTCACCTTCAAGAATTTTCATAATTGTCAGCAGCCTCTCTTCAAGGGTCATTACTTACTTACTGCTTCTACTCAAAGCAACCTACTCATTTAAAAACAAGAAAGAAAAATTAAAACTCTTTCTTTCTAACTACATTGAATCTTTGTCTGAAGTCTGATTAGGCTTCTGAGCTTCTTTCTGTCACTGCTCGTGAATGTTAACTTACCTTTCTGTTTTTCTTCCTTTTGATGAAGTCTCCTTATGTAATTTTACAGTTGTAGGAGCTGAGTGTTGAAGAGCTCTGGAATCTGAAAAAGAAAATTCTGTTCATACTTTCTGTTTCAATTCCGCTTATGTTACCAGTCTAGACAGCTTCTTTATGCTTATTCCAGAACCATAGCCCTGCTTTCTGCTTCATTTTTATCTTTTTTAAAGCTGGCTTATCAAGGTCTTTTTGTCCATCCCTTCTCAAGATGTACTGCAAAAAAGCCAAAAAGAAAATAGCCAAAAAAGAGATACGTGACTTCCCAGTTGTTCAAATTGTTGTATAATATTTGCATGTAAATAAAATTTCATTTCTTATTTGGCTAGCATAGGTCTGGGCACATCAAACCAAGAACTGTATCATAATATCTGGAAAAAAAATCCTAGTATATGTCTTTATTCATTTTTACTCACATTTAAAGTATTTGTGCATGTTGTGAATGCTATTCATTATTTTCCCTCTTCAATTTGCCATATTTTTTTATTTGCCATGATCTTCATCTTCCCTTTGCTTATGGTTTCTTTTTATATTTTCTTGACCTGAGTCTCATGTTCTAAACCATTACATTTACTTTCTTCCAATTGCATCTGTCTAATACGTGTGTATGCAGGTCCTCTCTAGTCTGGGCACCAAAGAAAAGGCAAAACGGTCCCGTGGTCTACAAGCATAGATCCCGGTAAAACTGAGTGTGGGGCATGGAGCTGTAAACCCAACTGCTGACCTGGAGAGTGCTGCATCTTCTTTCCCAAAATGCATTTGCATGCATTCTGGCAATTAAAAGTTGACCTCTGTTTCTTGTTTGTATGTTAATAGTAATAATCACAATAATAATACTTATTATTATAAAATGTTTTTAATATTTAAATTGTTCTGCAAATATTAACTATTTATAGGGACAGTAATAAAGAGCAAATAACATTTAGTGAATTGATTGAAAATATTGCCTCCTGTAACAACGTAGCCGAAACTCAATGTTTTATTTTCTACTGGTTCTATTATACAACAGATCTAGGTCTGATAATGACACATAGAGGCAAAACAGTATGACATGAGAACCGGACAGTTTTGGGTCCTTGGGCCAGTCATGTTTTGATCTTTTCTCACAATATAATGATTTCTTCCCTTAAAATTATTGCTTTTGAAAAATAATCACACGGTGATTACTTTTAATCCAGTTTTAACGGAAAAAAAACCAAACCCAACCAGCATAATTTCAGATACCATACACTGCCAAATGGCACGCTATAGGCCAAAAGTCAACCATCACAAATCAAAGCCATTACATACCAAAATCTACTAGATCATGAAGTCAAGGGCTGTCTCTTTGTGTACTGTTCAAAACAGAGAAAACTGTTGGTGCCTAACAGATAATAAATATCAGCAGTGCAGTTTAATAAGCATACTTCAGTTCTGGCTGTTGGTGCTTAGGATTGTAACTTTGCACCAACGAAATGATGCAGATGTAAAACCAAATTAAAATCTGTGGGTGATAGACATTCAAAAAACAAAAAGTTTTCTGAAAAGTTTTCAACAACTTTTTTTCACCATAGCGAGCTATCTAACTAAACTGGAAACGTATAAAGCAAACCGATCATTTCATCTGGTGAGGGCTTTTTTAATTTGCAATCTGAGCCTTTTCATGTTTCTTTGATAAGATTCTTTCTTCACTCATAGGCTTCACCAGCAGCAAGTATTTTCTGTGCTTTGATACTTAGTAATGACACTGCTTTGGGGAGAGGACCTTCCTTTAATCTCTTGCCTGTTTCCTGCTCCTCTTTAGGATCTGTGAGTGCACTGAGGCAGAGGCTGAAATTATTCTTCAGCTAAAGAGTGAGCTGAGGGAGAAGGAGCTAAAATTAACAGACATCCGTCTTGAAGCCCTCAGCTCTGCACACCATCTGGATCAGATTCGGGAAGCCATGAACCGCATGCAGGTCAGTGCAGTAGCTTAAGTGATGACAGGGGTGCACACCAAAGGTCCGCCTGCTGTATTTCCTTTTCCAGTACTTTGTTTCAGATACCAAGTAAATTGCTAGATTGACACTACTTCCAAATATGACAAATGTTCACCTTATAATAATAATAATATTCTTAGCATTTATATTAATAACTAAAATGTGTTTAAGAGATATGGAAGGAGAAATAATCCTTGCCCAAAGGATATTTGTTATCTAAACCTTATGAAGGGGGGAAGCAACATGACAGACAAGCAGATAAAGACGTGATTTCTACAGAGCTTTAAATCCTTGGGCGATGGGTGGGGCAGAGGTATAAGTGCATACTCTCTCGTAATTTTTGTTCCTAACCCAGGTATGGCTTGCTGAAGCAGGGTATGTAAAATTGAACTAAATTATTGCATGCAGCATCACTAACATTTCACTACATTGTTTTGTGGCACTGCTACAAATCCTTCCTGAACACATTTTTCGTCAGAAGACTTACCCTTTCAGGAGGCTGAAAGGTTGCAGAAAGAACAGCAGTGTTCTTCAGTGGAGCATCGAGCTGTGTTGCCCACATACAAGCTGTCTAGTATCACACTGGGTGCCCAGAAGTATCAACAACATCCACACAGAGTACGGCACAGGTCCATAGGTAGATTTGGGTCGTTCTGGAACAAAAGGTGAGATACCTGGAACATCCCTGAAGGCACTATAAACTTGTATTTGGGAAAAAGAATCAAGGACATGGGATGGGGTTCAGGTTGAGACTAGGACAGATAAATTTAGCTGTTTAGGCATGAGATAGGTGATAAACTTGTGTTGTAGTCAATCATGTTCTAGTCCTGCAGTAGTGGGGCTCAGAGAGCTATCCTAAAATCATCCTAAAATAGGTGTAGAGGGTGAAATTCAGTTGTTTGAGCATAGGCACTTCGTACCGTTTGAACCAGCGTCATATATTTGCATCTGCATGGAACTTGTAGGTTTAGCATTTGACCCGTGGAAGACAGTGTTTACAATGACACTGGAAGCCCACATTTACCCAGCTGAATTCAGCCCCAGTGGCTTGTCAGCTGAATTGCTTGGTGCTGGGTGCTTAGGTCAGGTGTACCTGTAGGCACTTTTTTATAGATGTCCACAGCAGATGATTTTATAACTACCAGATTCGGTGTGTGTGCTGTCTTTTATAGACCTCTTTGTCTCTATCATGCCTACAGCAGTCTCAGCCACACCTTTAAACCTGTATGATACCCGCTATCCTCCCAGGTGGTCACACCACTAGGTGCCAACATTGCTATGGGATATTTGGCTGAACTTCAATTAAAGGGAAAAATAATCAAGAATTGTTCCATAAATATGGGTTTTGATTGTCCAGACATAAGTAAAGCATTTGAACAGGAGCCACTACAAAAATTTTAGGAACTATGAGTAATAGAATACTGTTAATTGAAATGGTGGAGAACAGGATATGAAGGCTGATCAGCTGATTACAGTTTTAGACTGGGAGTAAACAAGTGCTAAACCAGATGAACTCCCTGGAGAGAGGAGTCTGCTGTAGTCACAGGCCTCCAAAATTTGAATTTCACCAAAGCTGGGCAGAAGGGACTAGTTCAGATACTGTCGCTGGTAATCACCACTCCTGAAGTTTTCCCAAAAGGACAGGTAGACACCTTGGAGTTGCCAAACTCTGTGACATTTTGGAGAATTGATGAGAAGTGGTAGTGGGAAAAAGTAGGATTGGTGGGAATGATACATGAATACTGTGTGTATTCAAAGCACCTTGAAAATCTAAAGCTCAGATGAATGGAAGACTGCTAAGAGTTGTGTTATTACTTAGTGTAAATTGCAGAATAGATTGAGATTTCGTCACCATAGTTCCTGATTTGAACCCCAGGCTAAACTAGTGCCTTCATCTATTTCCTTCTGTCACTATGTTGCTGGTTCGTCCCTTCCCTTTCACTATCTCCTCACCTTTGCCTATATGATCTAATCGTTCTGTAGCTGTTGCAGGTTTTTTTGTGATTCTACCCTTTATGTTTTTACTTGTATAATGTAGCTCAACAGCCTTCATAAAAGAATAGGACTTTTAGCAGAGTGTTAGTGAATGTGGAATTAAATTTGATGTGCAAAACCGTCTGTGAGAATAAGCAGTTGCTTTGTATTGTGCTTCATGAAGTGACGGAAAGATAGATTTAGCTGGTACCAGGCTGTTCTCAGGCTAAGATTTAGTTTTATTATTGTACATTCAATAATCACTGGGCACCAGAGAGGATTTAGCTTAAAAAAATTCCTAGTTGTTCTGATTCATCTGTCACTGTATGTTTTCATCAAAGAGGGTTTGCTGGCTGTTATGTGAACAATCTCATGTTTGAGTGATCAAAAAGTCTTAATCTGATAGCGAGAAAGGTTATGAAACTGCTAAACTATCAATATCTAATTGTCCATTTTTAATTTAATTTCTCTGTAAAGTTACTGCTTAAATTTTATACTCAATGACAGTAATAATTTTCTGTGACTTTAGAAACATTGATATGTCTAAGATTTTAACAATAACTTTCTTAATTTACAGTTGCCTAAGATATTTGACATTAAAAATTGGCTTATAAATCTGGGCATGCCTGGGAAAATTCTCACCTCATTTGTTTTATGGTCAAGCTTAGAAGCTTATGTTCGTTAGGAACTGTCTTGAGGTAAAAGCTAGAACAAGGTTATAGAGCTTTCCCCCTTCATTTCAGAAGCTAAAATAATCCAGTTTTCACTGGCTGGGTTGTACTTGTGATATATGGTGCTACTTACTCCTGTGCAAGTGGTAAATCAATTAGCTCCTGCAGCCCAACAGCAAGCACTGGAATAGCCACCTCCAGTGGTTTTCTAAAAGAGTAACCTTCTGTGCTTTTATTTGGTTTCTTTTGAATACAGAATGAAATTGAGATATTGAAAGCTGAAAATGATCGTTTAAAGGCAGAGACTGGAAATACCGGAAAGCCTGCCCGGCCACCATCAGAGTCTTCAAGTAGTACATCATCATCTTCATCACGGCAGTCACTAGGACTTTCTCTGAACAATTTAAACATCACAGAATCTGTTACAGCAGGTAAATGTATTTTGGGCACATGCATGCCTCAGCAATTAGTAAGAATTCATTATTTTTCACCCTCTTAATGGGCCATGTATAAGAGGCATACCTGAAAATTAAAACCCCTCATATCACTCAGGTAAACATCATATCTACATTCATTAATGGAGATGAGGAAGAATGCTGGCAGTCATTCCTGAAAATGTAGTTTTTAGTAGGCTCTGAATAATAGTAACAGGTTGTTAATATGTTTGCTTAGTTCCTAGCTATGGTACTCTCTAACTACCTAGTTTACAATACTTTTTGATCATCTAGTTTACAGTTTATTTGAAAAGGACAATATCTGTTGTAGTGTACATGACAACTGTATAGATACATTCTTTTGTCCCTATGGTACAAATATGAGCATAGTACATGAAACTTGTTTGTTTGTTTGTTTGTTTACAGAGCTATTATCATTCAGTTAGCTCCCTTAACTTTGTTTCATATTTGCAGCTGGTGCAGAAGATGATATTTGTTAGCTTTATCTCTTACATTTTTTTAATGTGGTATAGATAGTTAGGCTATGTTGGAGCAAATCACCATTTATCACAGAAGCCAAACCCTTCCTGGCTTATTAAGCATGCTCATTGTCTTCTGTGAATGAGAGAAAGCAAGCAGAACTTTGGTCCACATCCTGAACACTAACATTTGATTGTTTTGCATGACATAGAATTTATGATAATAAGCCTTCTACACTTGTCTTCATAGCAAAGCCAAGAAACAGAAGTGCTGTCTCTAACATTAGAACCAGGAGCAGAGCAGAAGCAAAGCAGCACTCATTAGTGTAGACTCCCCAGAAAGTATAATGCAGTCTCTGGAAGCAATAAAAATGCAGCTAGTAATTGTAGAAAGAGTCTAGGCAGGAGTACAGCTGGGATTGTGCCAAACTGCCTGACTATGTTTTGAATTGTCAGTTAGTTGTATTATCTTGCCAGTCATTGATTATACAGATATTTGAATATTTCTTCTGGTTGATATCAGGTTTTATATGAAAATCAGTATGTTTTTAATTTTTATTCCAGCCTACTTTTTTGACAGATTTAACTTTTAGCATGGATGAGCCTGAGCTATGTCTTGGTATATGATTAAGTGTTGCAAAAACAGGGAGAAAAAGTCTAACTATGGTTCCTGTTCACACATCCACACACATTAAAAAAAAAAAAAAAATTGTAAATTATCATTGTAGAGTCTCTTTCATGAGCAGCAGCTATTAGCACTTTGTTGCTTGGCACTAACTCTGTCGAGATACAGGAATAAACATAATGTAAGCTTTATGTAATTTTCTGTGTTATTGGTTCTAAATGTTATGCTAGCATGCAAAGTAATTACTTTTGGTTATAAGAAATTAAAGAAATAAGGGTGCCTAATGAGGAGTGGAGGATTTCATATGATTATTAATTCAGCCTTTTTGATCATTGTGAGTATCATTTTGTTGCTGTGCCAGAGAACTTGGAAGGGTGACAGCTTCCTACCAAGTCCTGTGGGATTTCTGCAGCAGCTGGAGTACTATTGAACAAAAGGCACTGAGATATGGAGAGGTTAATCATACTGGGGACTAAGCTGAGAGAGATAATGAGGGCTTTGGCTCATCATATTAAAAAATGCCATTGCACTTTCCAGGAGACCGGTGTCTCCAAATGACTGTGGTCATCTGGAAATCACCAAAGCTATCCATTGCCACTTCCTAAGGGTATGACCATTGTGCTGGTTTTGGCTGAGATAGAGTTAATTTTCTTCATAGTAGCTAGTATGGGGCTATGGTTTGGATTTGTGCTTGAAACAGTGTTAATAACACAGTTACTGCTGAGCAGTGCTTACACAGAGTCAAGGACTTCTCTGCTTCTCACACCACCCCACCAGCAAGGAGGCTGGGGCTGCACAAGAAATGGGTAGGCGACACAGCTGGAACAGCTGACCCCAGCTGACCAAAGGGATATTCCATACCATATGATGTAATGCTCAGTAATAAAACTGGGAGGAATGTTGGCGGGGGGCCGCTGCTCAGGGACTGACTGGCCATCGGTCAGTTGGTGATGGCAAATTGATCTCATTTGCATCACTTGTCTTTATTTTTCTTTCTCTCTCTTTATTATTTTCCTTTCCATTACAATTTATTTTTATTATTGTTATCATTATTATTATTATTACTACTACTAATATTAATATTATTTTTATTTTATTTCAATCATTAAACTGTTCTTATCTCAACCCACGAGTTTTCTCACTTTTACCCTTCACATTTTCTTCCCCCATCCTGTTGGGGGTGCAAGTGAGTGAGCAGCTGTGTGTTGCTTATTGCTGGCTGGGGTTAAACCATGACAACCATCTCCTTCAGATATGTGTGAGTGGCAAGCTGGGAAGGGGCTCAGTGGTCACAGACACCCCTATTTCAGTCAGTCACTGGAGTAAAGAGCAGCAAACAAGGAAAAATACAAGACTCTGTCTGTACTGTCCAATGAGAAGAGTGCCAGAGCTCAGACAAGAAGTGAGCCGGAGCCACCATAGTGTACCTAAGGAGGAGGCCTGGCAGGAGGTAATTAAAGCAATTAGCACCACCATGAAATTAGACCCCCTTGGGCACCTTTTCAGCCCCTTGTGTCAGTGAGAGAGAGAGATCTCTTAGAAAATGGAATTTTTTTCTAGCCAGAGACTGTTCCCTATGCCTAAAGACTTATTGAAGAATGTATTTATAAGGCTACATGAGGGTCATTTAGAGATTGAAAAATTTCACAGGAGGATTAGTTACATTGTAAATCGCCCTCAGACAAACTATGACATTATGGAAACTCTTCCGGTTTCTCAAATACGCCAAAACACAAGACAAGTGAAGTGAAACATTCAGTGTTGGTGGCACAGAAAAAGTGCCTGGAATGAAACAAGCATGGATTTGTTCAAGCTGACAACAAAAATGCTTCTTCATTTGATCAATTAAAAGAAAAACCCCAAAACTAAACTAAAAAAACCCACCAAAACCAACAGCACAATCTGCTTTCTTGATCTGGGTGTAAGATATCAGACATTTTTCATGAGGACTTATTTTTTAATGCTTTAATTTAAGTCATAGTCATAAGTCTTCTTTGGTTTTGCTTTGAGCAGACTATGACATGAAGTCAATGCTTTTCTTCAATCACCGCAACAAGAATGAGCAGGATTTAGGGTAGTGGATTACTGTGCTGGCCTTTGAAGAAAATGCAAATCCATAATCTCTCCAAATTTGATAGTTTGTTTAAATGCCTAACAGTAAAATCTCTGAGAGAACTTCTAGAGGAAGACAGCAATTTTATCCCTTGCAATAAAGCTGCAGGCTCCATCTTCAGTAGGAAACACATCCTCCTGCTTTCTCATTTTAGGAGTTAGTGAAGAGGTAGAAACAGAGGCACAGAGCACTTCCTTACTTCCAAGAAAAATGAAACCTTTTCTTAGAGGAACGTCTGGATACAGAGTCCCATATTCTGGGGGAACACTAAATGGTTTTCTAATGGATACTGTTTATAAGCCTGTTATTGTGGGGGTAAAAAAAAGTTCTATCCATGTTGTGTGTACAGAAGGTAAAGAAATCAGCTGGAAAGAGAAATTAAATGCGATTTTACTTAGCGGCAAACATATCAGTGCAAGGATTTATTATTTTTCTCCTTACAACATTCTAAAGGGCCCAAAGATATAAACTTAATTTAGGTTTTAAACAACATTACTTTGTGGAGGTATGGTAATTTTGAACTAGTTCCAATAAGGAAAGCAAAGGCAAGACTACAGAGCAAGAATTTATTTATATCTGGATTACCTGTACATTTCTACATAATTAGAGCTCCTAATATTGCTTCAAAATTTGACAAATTGTAACTTTTTTTTCATCTCCAACAGAAAAGGCAAATTAAGATTAAGTACAGATTGCAAGTTCTTGCAGCCTTTCTTTTTAACCAAAAAATCCTTTGAACAAATGTTGAACTGACAATGTGGATATAACTGAAGTGATTTGTCAGATTGATCACTTTACTTCCCTTCTTTTCTTGTAGATATTTTGTTGGATGATACCACTGATGGAGCACTCCACAAAGAAGGTCACAGTGTGAAAATTTTAGTCACTATAAACAAGGGCTATAGTCGAGCCAAGGTAAGTTCATTACCCAAAGGTCTAGATGCAGAATTATAGCTCAGGTAAATCTTGCAGTATAGTAGCTCAACTTATTTCAGTATTTTCAGACAGGAACTGAAGGGAAATATCCTAAAGATAGCAGCTCTCTTCTCTGTCATCCATGCTCAGTACAATTAGGCACTCTCCATAGACGAATGTCCTTCTGCCTTTGTGGTGGCTCACACACTACCAATTCTCAGTTTAATTAGTAGCAGGATGTTCTGGGACTTGCTATCTCAATTTAAAAGTCATTATAAATTCGATCTATGCCTTGGACCCCTTAGGGTGCAACTACGAATATGCTGCTGAGGTGATCAATTTTGAATTGCATTGTCGTGTTTTATGTTTATTACATGAAAATTATATTACAAAAATATTATATTACAAAAAAATAAATACATTGCAGCTTTTATTTATATTCAGCTCTTTATAAACACAGATGCAATCGAAGAACAGAATAAGATACATATTTCTTTCCTTCTAAAGATGTACCAAAGTAATATCATCTATACTTATTTCTGACACAGAGATTATTAACAAAGTTGTAACAACACATTCTAAATAATATTATTTTCTTCATTGGGAAAATTATGAATCTTCATTGAAAACTAATTACTATTATTTTTAGTCCAGTTTCCAAAAATCTGTCTTTGCAGGATCAAAAACCACATGCATATCTGATAGGATCAATTGGAGTCAGCGGAAAAACAAAATGGGACATTTTAGATGGTGTAATCAGACGTCTCTTTAAGGTAAGACACTAAAAAATTATCTCAAGTATTCTTCAGGTTGTCTTGCCAAGTTTTTCTTTGTTTTGCTTTTTGACGTATAGCTAACACCACTATTAAACTTTATTCTTAATGTTGCTGTTCTTTTTTCATTATTGTAGGCAATTCTCTATTGAAGGTGACTACAAGAATCTTCTTGTCAAGTGACTTCACCTATAGCAAGATATTTTCCAAACTGCTTTCATTCAATAACCATTTTTATGTCTTATGTTTTCATATAATTTCAGGAATATATTTTCCGAGTGGATCCGACTACTAGCCTGGGTTTAAGCTCTGACTGTATTGCTAGCTATTGTATAGGGGATGTCATTAGAGCCCATAGCCTAGAAGTGCCTGAACTGCTGCCTTGTGGATATCTGGTTGGAGATAATAACGTCATCACTGTGAACCTGAAAGGTAAAACCCCAAGAATACTTTTGCAGATGCTGTAGAGTTCTTCACTGCAGACCCCCATCCCTCCTTTTCTTTTTCTTACACCTGACCCTTATGTATTTTATCTTGAGTTTGAGGACTCATTTATCACATAAATTCTCTGTGTGACATTGTATAATACCTAACACAGTGGGGCATTTCGAGGCAAATCTAAGAATATCACTGTCCTTCTCTGCCTGGTTGCCAAATCACAGCAAAGTACAAATTTTCTGAATAGGGGCAACCTGTCCCCTTAAAACAGAGGTTATGATCAGAAATATTTATGCATTACTGCAGGAAAAATCCAATACATTACAAAAGCTGCAGGGATTTGCTGTTGCAGGGGAAGGGGGCCTTCAGAAGAACTGTACATATATTGATGTGACAACCAGTAACCCTTGTGGCTATCACTTTGACCTTTCTTTTTGTCATGATTGCCTGTAGTGCTGAAACATACATCTTTGCCTCACTGAGCCTTCTCTTCACATTTACTTTGATTTTATCTCTTCTACCCATCTCATCCTGCTACTACTGTTTAATTTTTGGGTCCTGTGGAAGGATATAAGCATTTCCACAGTAACGAGCCCTTGGCAGGAGTTTGATTTAGGCAGAAGTATCATACCTTGCTTTGAGCCTGGCACTGATGCCATCAGATGTTGAGCCAAACCTATGCCTACCTTAGCAAGGATGAAGACAGGCCATTTTTCTTTTCTTTTCTTCCCAGGAGTGGAAGAAAACAGTTTGGACAGTTTTGTGTTTGACACATTAATTCCTAAGCCAATTACCCAGCGGTACTTTAATTTACTGATGGAGCATCGCAGAATTATTCTGTCGGGACCCAGTGGCACAGGAAAGACCTATTTAGCTAACAGGCTGGCTGAATATATTATAACTAAATCTGGCAGAAAAAAAACTGAGGATGCAATTGCAACTTTCAACATAGATCACAAGTCAAGCAAGGTAAGTTACAAATGAAAAGATAACCTACTGTCCAGTTTGCAGTGATGATGCAGAGCAGATCCTATTAATTGGTGTACTGTTTTGCTGCTCAGTTAGCACTTTTTCCTGCAAGAATTCAGTCTCCAGTCCCAGTGAGGAACAGGGACCAGATCTTTCTGTTCTAAACAAACCATTGAAGGACTGTGAAGGAAGTCTGAATTTTCCCCTCCATTTGAGGAAATTCACCCTAAGGATAGATGCAGAGTCAAATTCTTATGTAAATTCAATTCTTGGAGTGTCTTTAATTCCTTCATCAGAAAGGTTGAATATATAGTAATACTAGTCTGACTTGCTTTTATGTGGTGAAAGTAGCAACCTATTCTTAGCAAAGACTTCAGAGTGGGAATTTTGAATTACTGTCTTGGCTTCAGCTTCTTAATCAGCACCAGATAAATGCCACTGCTGCCCTGATTTCTGGCGTGCATCAGTCGGGAACCTGACCATATTAAAATTACCTCTTGCATCATGTCACATTCACAGTGATTTACATAGCTCAGATTATCAAGCTTCTAGCATGACTATTGTGCTAGCCACAGATAATACTATTCACTTGCTGTCCTAAATTGGATATATTCCTAACTTGGTACCCAGGGAAAAGAAAATGAAAGGTTTTGTCCAGAGCTTTCTGATTTGCACAGAACATAATGAATGTTAACATGATATAAGAAGGAAGAACATACAGATCCCAAAGGCACGAGAGAACCATTCCAGTAAAAACGCCACTTTTCACTGTCTTTATACAGAGGATTTGTGATGTCATTTACTTTGGCAAGGGATTTGTATATGTTTTATTGTTATGCTATATACATTTATAATGAAAACTGCCTCACAAAAGAGCAAGCTTTCAGCTTTCTGGTAAATTGCTTCTTGTAGGTGTTTTTGTTTTGGGGTTTTGGTTGTTTTGTGTTTTGTTTTGTTTTGTTTTCCTGTTAAGATTTGTATAGAACTTTTGAGTTTGTACTAAAAAAGAAAAAACACCATTGTCAAACCAAGTGTGTTTGAATAATACAGATGGTGTTATTCCATGGAAGAAACACATGATGTTTCCCTAGAGACACCTGATCATAAAAAGCCTAAGTTCTTTCTTGAAATAAAAAAAGATTGCATGTTCCCATTAAAGAAACAAAGATTCTGCTTTCCCTGATCCAGAAAGTAAAATGGCAATAGCAACTTCGTCCATAATACTGAGTATTCTCAACACTGACAATATTAGACACCTCTAGAGATACAGCTGTAAAACTTGACTAGCCCAGAGCCTCAAGGGCAATAAAGTGTCAAGAAAAATATTAAATGTTTTGATAACAGAAAGCTCTCTTATACTCTAGCACTAAATGGCAGCCAGACAGGCAGATGACAGAAAAAAATAATTTACACAACAAACTTTATTATGAGGTGTGATACAGTATCTCCAAAAGGTCAAACAGATTTTCAGTGAGAGTGGTGAAAGGAGATACCTGAAGGAGCAGTTCAATATGCCTAAATTGTGTGATAATCTGGTGGGGTTTTTTTGCTATATAAATGTGGCATTGATAAAAATGGGGTCCAACAATTAATGTGAGTATATCTGCCCATTGGAAATGGCATATTTTATTGCAACCTATTTTCCTCCGGAGATAAGATATTTTATCAGATGGTTTCTAAGGAATGTATCCACCTGGTTTCTAAGGAATGTATCCACCAAATAGGAATGTTTATGCTTCAGTCACTTGCCTTATGTTTAGTGCCTTTCTTTTTCCTAGCACGTGGCTTCAATGTTGCCCTACCTAAGAAGCAGGTACTCCTGCATGTGCTGGTCCAGCGGAATGATCCACAGTGGGGGGAAACTCTGCAGAAGCCTCTTTATCTTTCTGAAAATCTTTTACACTGAAATTATGTCCATGATCTAATTGGGTTAATATTTTCTGGTTTGTTTGGTGGTTTGGTTTTTTTTTGATTGTTTGTTTTGTGTTTTTGGTTTTTTTTTTGGTTTTGTTTTTTTTTTGTTAATTCTGCTGAAGGATCTGCGACAATACCTGGCAAACTTAGCTGAGCAATGCAGTGCTGACAACAATGGTGCTGACCTCCCTGTGGTCATAATTCTTGATAACCTCCACCACATCAGTTCACTAAGTGATATCTTCAATGGTTTCCTCAACTGTAAATACAATAAATGGTAGGTAGTAGCTTTTCTGTTCCCTTTCACATGCCTTTTGCAGCTAAAACAGTAAAAGCTGTTTTTTATTTTGCAAAATAAAACATCCCAGTGGAAACTTAGACTCCCAGAGGCTGTCAGCAAAGCCCTTATGGGCTTGAATAATTTTAGCCCTCTTCAGCCAAATAGTTAGGTGTCTGCTTCACTTTTTTTATATGACTCGCATACATCTCAGTGAGATGTAAATGTACCAGAGAATTTAAGAATGTACTTAAACACTTGACTGAATTAGGGTCTTATCTCTTTCACATTGCCAGATCACACAAGCTCATTAGTACCATGAGGACAACTTATGGGAGAGTAAGAAGAAATGCACTTTATAATAGTGGAATTTGGGATATCTGTGAACCATACATGAGAAGCAAGTGTTTATCTAGCAGACTTGCACTTCCTAGAGTTTTCCTGTAGTACTGCAGAAGTATGAAGTTTGCTGACTGTCCTTTATTGCCAAGCAAGAATAAAAATAATGTTTTCTGGAACTTTTACTGGTCTGTAACATTAGCTATTTCTGCTGTAAAAGTACCATCATAGAGACTTCCCTTCGTGAAATCACTACATGCTATGGCTTTACTCGTGAGATTCGCTGGGTTCTGAAATTAAAACCCTAAGCCTACTGCAAATTATGAGGTACATGAGGACAGGGTTGCCTCATTTTTTTCTTAATTACAGATGAGTACCAATAAACTACAAATGTGTGATGAGGGAAATCATACAAGAGTAAACATTAAAAAAAAAAGGGCACCTCAGAAATATTTTAAGACTACAATACATCCAGAGACTCTTTTAAAAATTGGATTAGTGCAGATAAGAAGAAAGAATATTCTCTGAATGCCTGAATGGATTCTACTTTTAAAAAAAGGGGCACCTCAGAAATATTTTAAATCTAAGACTACAATACATCCAGAGACTTTTTTAAAAATTGGATTAGTGCAGATAAGAAGAAAGAATATTCTCTGAATGCCTGAATGGATTCTACTTCAACAAAACCTACTACTTTTCTCTTTTCAGTCCCTATATTATTGGAACCATGAACCAGGGAGTTTCTTCTTCACCAAATCTGGAGCTGCATCACAATTTCAGGTACATTCACTCTGTATTTACTGTGGCAGTGTTTGCACAGCTCGCTGCTTCTCAGCTCACTTCTTCGACAAACATTGATCTTGTGTCTTGTCACAGCAAAATATTTTGCCTTCTATGTCTCTCCTTTATTAATGGGTCTCTGAACAGCGTTGGGGAATGGGGAAAGAAATAAGATGCCTTCTGGCACCTCTTGCAAGTTGCTGAAGACAATTGCATTCTTGCATTCCATTTGTCTTCAGCAGTGTCTTGAATATGTAATGATTGTATTGTAGCAGTGGGCAATAATGCGTTTTTTTGGAAGAGTTTTTTAATTGCTGACTAACAAGACTCAGAAGCTTATGACATTATTTTCATCTATATGTTTAAGAGGAAATGGTGTATTTGCTATTCATTACTGATTGACATTTATCCTTTCTACCCAGGTGGGTGCTGTGTGCTAATCACACGGAGCCTGTTAAAGGTTTCTTGGGCAGATATCTGAGAAGGAAACTGATTGAGACTGAAATAGAAAGGAACATACGCAATAATGAGCTCATCAAAATTATTGACTGGATCCCCAAAACGTGGCATCATCTCAACAGCTTCCTAGAAACGCACAGCTCTTCAGATGTAACTATTGGTGAGTCCATTGGTGGAGTGGTTTGAAATAAGGGTGCAGGCTGAGCATTTTAGAAGTTTGTGAAGGATATATTATCTTTTTAAAAGTTGTCATTTCTCAATGGGAAGTACGACATCAGTGTGGGGAATTTGTTTTTTTGCCTGCAAGACTGAAATGAAAATGGAAGGTTTAATGAAGAGAGTATATATTTCCTGGTATTTCTGCCTTGGTTGCTAAAGACTTTCAGGTAAATGATCATAACTTTTTAAAAGTTAATTTTACAAAAAAAATACCTCAATAGCAACTTTCCTAAGCTTAATTTTTTCCCTGCTTTCACACTGCAGTATAATTACGGCAATAAAAACACTTGAATGGTCAGTTCAGCAAACTAGCAGGTGGGAGATATACATGTACCTGAGGTCTTTTAGTGGAATAGCAAAGAAGTCATTCTTTTACATAGCTTTGCCTGTAGAACTTTTTCATCAGGCTCTAGAATTGGATAAAGTGAAACTAGTTCATTTTTAATAACAGGAGGCTGGTATTTCCCTTATTGTAGTCCTGTATTAGTATTCTCATCACTTAAGTTTGCTCCAATAATACTTTTTTAATTCTGTGAAGATTATTTTTAGTGTCTTCCCTAGTTCTACATTTTTTAATACACAACTTGATTTCTCAGGTCCCCGCCTCTTCCTCCCTTGCCCTATGGATGTTGATGGCTCCAGAGTGTGGTTCACAGACCTCTGGAACTATTCCCTGGTGCCATATCTTCTGGAAGCTGTGAGAGAAGGACTTCAGGTATGTCATTTGTTTCACAGATTTTTTTTTAATTGGTTTCATAGACTTTCTCCAAGCTACTCTTAACCAATGCATCCAAGTGCAAATGCTTTTGCATATGCAAGAAGAAAATTTGTGGAGGGATTATATATATCAGCCTTGAACTCCTTTTGACCTTCTCTTCCTTTGATGTATAATTTGGCTTTGTCTGCTCCAGCACTATCATATCTTCTGTTTTGTGAAGAGTGTTTCTCCTCTGTGACTGGAGGAAGGTTCTTCTTTTTCTACTGTTTAAAGAGTTCACAGCAATGCTAAATACAGATCAGATTGCCTCCCTGAGTCAAGGCAGTCTCAGCCTAACCCTGCATGGAAGAATTAGTAGCACTGACACTGGTGCAAGAAAATAGCTTTGGTCTGTGTAATCCTCTCCCACCTACGTACACATGTAGGCACACAGGCTTGTGGAGGAAAGCTTGTGAACAAGGATATTTTCACCACTCAGGAAAAAAAAAATGTTTACTGGCCTTATCTAACCAGATTGAGATAATTTACTCTTTGGCCCTGCTGAGTCTGTCCCTTTTTATCCTTGTATCTTATCTTGCAACCCTGCTTGTATTTCCCATAGCTTTGTTTCTTCTGTTGTCTTTCTCTATGTGGGCTAAGGTTTCCTCCTGACCATAATTCTCATTTTGGGTAACAGTGCCATTAGATCAGAGTGTTTCACAGTTACCTCTATCCTGTCCTCTCCAGAGCTAGATGTTAGCAAGAGTTCCACTGATTGTTAATGAACTATTAAAATTTCTTCTACTTTAATAGAAAGAGGGCTACAAATAGATTTTCTGTAGATACCACTGTAAACTGTTCCATATAGGTAAAGATTTCAGACCACTCCACATTTTTGGAGCAAACCTAAATCTTGAATTAATCCTGTCTTTTTTATTTTTTTTTTTCAGTTTTTATTTGACGTTCTCCCTTTTCCTTTTTATTTTATGCACTGCAATTTTATGTCCTCTGAAAAGACTCTTTGTGGAAAGGCAGGTTTTTGCCACACATGACACTGAAAGAAATTACTGCACAGTGCAGAGGGGATTGTTATGGACTAGCCAAAGAACTGTGTAAGCAGCTGCGGTTTCTTTATCACCTTATACTGACATGGTGACATACTGATGCGATGGAGGTTTAGAATCTTGCCTGTTGCATATTGGATGCTTTTCTAAAACTGCTTATCTCTCTGGGAATTATAGAGTGTTTATGCCTTGTGCAAAAAACTGCCAAACATCTGATAGAACAGCCACAGTGAGATTAACAGCATTTTTTTTAGACCACTGTAAAAATCCAGTGATATTCCTCGTGCTTGTATTTTCCTAAGTATACAGCGTACCTACTCAAATGAAAACTTCAATTCTGGAGCAGAAGATGGCAGCATACAGAAGAAAATATGTTGTTTCATGAACCGTTCCAATTTTTAGCTGCTTTAGATGGCTTCCATAGAATAACATTATTAATACTAAACAGGAATCTTTTATATGATATAATTAGGTGTTCCTGGAACCAGGGAGGAGCAGAAAATGGCTTTCTAGCCCGGTACATTGCAAACTCACTTGTCAGACATGGAATTTGAAAGCCTTGCCCCAGACTCCAGAAAAGATTTAATCACTGTTAGTCTCAGATGAGGGGAAGTGCTGCCTACAGCTGGGAGTTAGCCCGCTGCCTCCCTGAGAAACATTTCCTCTTGGCTTATTTAGGCAGATCCCTGTTACAGCAGCCTAGTCTCAGTGGAGGGCAGAAGGAGCCTGAATGTCTCAGTGCATAATATAGGGAATTTGGCTGCCTAGCCTGGAGCTCTGGATTCAGCAAGTGCCTGGGAGCAGGTGTTGCAGTGATGAGCACAACTCATGTCTCTGGCTTTAGCACTAAAATCCTTCACTGTTTTACTCCTTTTAGGAGTTCAACCCATCTGAATGCTCCATGAGCGTATGCCCTGCCAATATTATGCTGCTATTTGGATTGTGTGGGGCTGTTTGAGCTAGAAGAGATCACAGAAAGCCCTGGTGACTGGCTCCCTGTCCCAACGTGTCATTTTCACAGCTAAAGGAAATCTGTAAAGCAGCAACCAAGGGGATCTCAGTTAACATGTTGTTTGTGAACAGCAGTGTGGAGAAGGGTGCATTTTAGTGCAGAAGCTACCAGACCTCCTAAACTTACAATATTCTCATTCTTACTTCCCTTCCCTCCTTCCAGATTCATAAGCATTTTTGTGCTTCATAGTAGGGTAAACCTATGCTTTCTGAGTTTCTTCTCTTAACCTTGTGTTTCTTCTCTTAACTTTGTGAAAGATCTCAAACTTAAGGTGTGGACAGATGTCTGCTTCTGCATCCCATTTCACGAGGAGCAGAGGACAATCTGTACTGGCACTTCCTAATTTACTTCAAACAAAATCCAATTAACTTGAATGTTTTAGATAGGTCTGAGTTAATTTCACCAATACGTCTTAAGCAAATTACCTAAAGGTCTCATTTCACTTTGTATCAAGAACTTGTGGCTCCCACTGTTGCCTACAAGTATCACTAGTGATGGAGCGCTTTTCAGTTTGCAGCCACTCTGCGTGTTGAAGGAGCGTTAATGGAGGTCTTTTGAATGTCTTCCCATATCTGAGTGCTGAGCACATCTGAAAGCACATCGCTTACTAAAATGGTTTAGATGGTTTTGATTACTTTTGCCTGTTCTTACAACCGGTGCTGAAAACTCTGTAGGATACTTACCTGTGTTGTATCTATAATATAGATGTATGGTAAGAGGGCACCCTGGGAGGATCCCTCCAAGTGGGTAGCTGATACCTATCCATGGAGCTCTGCATCTCTACAGCATGAGTGGCCATCGCTGCTTCAGTTAAGACCAGAAGATGTTGGTTATGAAGGTTATGCATCAGCAAAGGAAGGAACAACCTCAAAGCATGTTCCACAGACTGATACAGAGGGGGATCCCTTGGTAAGATTTAAACTTTGGGGAAACTTTGGCTGGTACCACCATCATGTTAATATGTCCCTATACATTTGCATTTCCCATCTGTCCAGAAATGTTTCTGATGTCCATTATTATAATGTTTGGGTACCACTCCTCAGCAACTTATTATTCAGGTTATTCTATAAACACCTTTCCAGGTTGGGCAGCCCTTCATCTACATTGTACAAATGAAGGAGTGAGAAACTCACACTATCTAACTTGTCTGTCATAGAGAATTTAGTGGAAATGCAAATTAGACAGCCATCTTCCCATTCCTCAGAACATTTCAAGATAACTGATGACTGTGTAACAGTCCTAATGTAAAAGGAATGCATGTGTGGTGGCATTAAAAGATAAGAGGTCGATTTCCCTCAGTGCCAGGTATTGTTTTATTTAAATATGATCCCAGATGTTTGGGTTTACTATTGCCTCCTCTGATAATGGACTATTAAATTGCATATATTGAACTGCTATTCTTGGATAGTGCTTTCTCTATAGACTGCCTTTATCACAATTCAAAATACCATTTTAGAAAATTTCTGAAATACAGGCAGGCCTTGGAAAAGGGAATTTCTCTGAGGAAAATGCATTTAACTCTTATCAGGGCTAAGAAAATGACTCCTGAGCCTCACTAAAGTGTTTGTTATCCAAAACCAGACCTTGCATGCTGAAGAAGTGTAAAAAATCACCTCCTTTGATCCCCCGTCTCCCAGTCCATAAGCTTAGGGGTGATTGTTTGACCTTGCGATTTGGGCTGCCAGTGAGTGTATTGGCCAGGCTTCCAGCACATGTGCATCATCTGCAGTAAAGAGAAAGTACTCGGGCAGCTCAAGTTCAGTGTCCCATCACCCTTGCTCCCTGCATGCTGTGACCAGTATCTGTATCTGACTACATTTCAGAAGCTTGAAACTTGTGAACGGAGGGCTTATCCCTGCCTCCAGTTTGTGCTCACCGGTAGACAGATCCTGAGCTTGTGGAGACAGGACACATTACATGCAGGCTGTATTGTACCCCCACTTCACATAGTCTGTGTTCTCAAACATGAATATCTATTAAACCTTGGGAAAAAGCTACCTGATAGCATTAAAGAGTATTAAATGCTGTTCAATGCCTAGAGAAAACTTTACAAGCTGTGCAGGTTGAAACCATAGAGATGTAAGGATTCCTGAGCAAACTGGGAAAAGGGGGTTTAACACATAAACACACAAGAATACCCCTTTTTCTTTGGTTTTTCATTGCCTGTTTTTTTTGAAATGACAGCATATTTGTTCCTTGGAAAACACTAAAGCAATGTCAATATTGCTTGCAGCCCTGAGCATGCTGGCAGAAGTGAATGTTTTATAAATAAAATCCTGATCATTACACAGAGTTAGGCGTCAAGCATCCAAATAATTTTCTGGGGCTTAATGCTTCTTTTTGATAATTTTTCAGATGGGCTTCAGGTTCTAATAATCCCCAAATTATGTGGCAGCTCTTCCTCTCCTGGGTAGGAGGATCTGTTGCTGCTCCCCTGCTGCGGTCAGCCGCTCGACAGCAGATGGGACTCCTATGAACCAGCTGGCCTCAGTCCACCTCTCTCTCACTCCCTCCCTGTCTCTCTCTTGTAGAGGGGGTATGTTTGTGTGATTATGTTTTCAGTTGCTTTTCCAATGTAGTGTGTCTACGCCATCCAAAAATTATCTGGAAGCTTGACTGTCTCCAAATATGGGCCCAGATGTCCAGCTGTGATATGGCTTCCTTCCCCTGCCGGTGCTGCAGCTGCAGACGGTCTCACCCTTGAATTAAAGAGAGTTATCAGGCAGCTCCATTGTATTGCTCTGGCTGTTTGGACCTTTCAACTTCTATTTAAAGACCAGGAGGCAATGAAAAGGCTGACAGGAGGAGCCGCTGACACCCTGCCCTTTCTGAAATCCTTTTGTATGATCCCCTCAGCTAGATACCTGCACACCTCATACAGCAAGGGAGCTTAATTAAATTTTAACACAGTCACTGCAGCATTAAATGAGATGAGATTATGTAAACATTGCTTTCTTCTTTCAGATGAATATGCTAATGAGGCTTCAAGAGGCAGCCAACTATTCGAGCGCACAAAGCTGTGACAGTGATAGCACCAGCCACCATGATGACATTTTGGATTCATCCCTTGAATCAACTCTCTGAAAGGGACAAACGTTGGTGGAGGATTATGGTAAAATCTATTTCCACTTAGACCACTGCCAGTATTAAAGCAGCACTCCGAGGTCCCTGAGTGAGAACGGTGCATTGTAGGTAGGAAAGAGACCTAGCTCTGCAAAGTCAGGAAGAAAAATTGAAGTGGAAAGCTTGAATTAGTTTAATTTCAAGGCATTTCAATACCTATGGAGCAATGTGAGACTCCATTTGTCAACTGGAAAGGGCCCTAGACCAAGGGCATCTAAGCAGATTGCACACGTGTTAGCCAAACTGGAATTTTTTTCCCCTTTTCCTCTTTCTCTCTCTCTCTCTCTCTTGCTCTCTCTCTGTTTCTCTGTACGAGTTTACAGTGCAACTTCTTCTGTTTTTTTCCTTTAGTTTACCCTGAGACATTGCATGAACAATGCAGTCTTCTAATTCTCTTCTAACCTCTGTTGTGCCACATGGTGCTGGTCACAGGACTGCAGTAGTGTTTGTGTTGTACGCTACTGCCCATTCCAAAACAAGTCAAAGATGATAGTAACTCAGTAAGCACAAACAGTATTGTGCAATCACCAGAAAACATGACTGTGATATGCTGGATAAGTGCCAATTTAATTCTAACTGCCATGGTCACGGTGATGCGCTCCATCAAGTTTTTAGTACACGAGTCACAGATTTTATAAAGTTGTTTTTACCACAAAGGTCTTTTTTAACCACCTGCCCACTCCTTAACAACAGTTTTATACCAATTATTAACCAACACTGATTAAAGGCTTTTTAGGGCTTCATTTGTTTGAGTCTTTTCAGTGAAAGAAGGAACATTTCTTATGGTGCTGTCTCACTGCCTTAAAACAGATTTCTAGAACAGTTTTACAGTTGGTTTAATTCCTAAACCATTGGTAATTTACACTGTTTTTTTCTTCATTTACTAATGAGAAAACGTCAGTTAACACAGTAGCCTCATATCTGTATATCATGATTTTTTAAAGAAATGGATAGGAGAAAGAACAGTTGCTATATAATATTTTTATCTTGTGAATAGATTGCTCTGCCTACCCTTAGAAATACACAAGGAACCCAAACCCACTTCCACTGCCACCTAAATGCTGAGAAAATCAGCTCAAATCCATTTGGTCCAATGGAATGGAGTTTTTGGAGGATAGATGTTTTGAATTCTTATCCAGCAGAGCTGGATGCACTTGATGCAGCATGAGCACAAATATATGTATTTTTTTTTTCCTTTTTCTAGTTTTAGCATGTTGTTTTGATTGCTATTGTTGTACATGAAGAATTCAGCATAAAAGAACACTGAAGCAGTGATGTCCACTGTGGAAGAGGAAGAGTTTATACTGTAAAAGTGGGTTGGTTTTGCACAGTCTACTGGGTGGGTATTGTAAATACTGAAGAAAAAAAAAAAGAAAAAAAGCCTTGCACAAATCAAATTTAAAAAAAAGCAAACAAAAAAAATTGTATTTTATTCTGTTGGTGTTAAGAGATGTTTCACTTGCTGAGATTTCCTGTATGTTACAAACAAATACAGAATGCAAACCTTAAAAGCTGTTATTACCTGGTGTGTTTGTCCTGTACTTACAGTTGTTATGACTATGCAGGAGCTAGCAATGCTACAGTCAACATATTTCAATATCTATACGAAGCCAATACATTTTGGGGGGAAAAAAATCTGAAAAAGTTTTAAGTGCATATGTCACGGCAGGCTACAACCAGATTGCATTCCACCTGCTCAGAATAATCGGAAACACTCTTTTACCAGAAGAGGCATCCGATTAAAATAGGTGCATATAAACAAGAAGGTATCCAAGGGCTCTGGCATTGTGTAGACATGTACTGTACACCTCCATGGATGTTACCTTCAGGATGTATATTTGGTGCTATTAACTCTTTGTGGCCACCCTGTGGTCACTAGCTGTAAAACAAAGATATATCAATGCAGTTTCCAAATGGCACTGAGCTGCATCGCTGAATCTAGAGGTTCCTACACGGTGCTATTGCCCTAATAAAACTCTAACTGATTTTATGCATGTAGGATTCAGTCAGACCAACATCATGCCCCCCAAATCTGGATCCATTTCTGTTGCAAAACGTCAGTGCATACACCTTGACTGACTCAAAAGAACTAAAGGAAAGTCTCTCTTTCCTGTACCTGTGCTCTGAGCAAACCTGCGAATCGTTTCCTGCCATACTGAACACACAAACACACAATATCACATATACAAAACTTCCTGCAATGCATCTCAGTGAGTCCACCTAGTTTACAACTCAGAAATTGTTTGTGAAACATTTGTCTGTACACATTTTATATTTTGTACATTTTTGATGTAACATATCATGTAAATAGACAGAAACAGTGAAATAAATCATCTGAAAAGTTTTGTAGTCTTTGTAAAGCCCTAATAATAAGTATTTGGTGTCATCGGACTTAACTGGATGATGTATTTTCTATTGGTTTATTGTTCCTCTAGCTTGTAAACCAGCTTGCGTATATTTTTTTGCAGGTGTGCGCACTGTATCTGTCTAAATTATTACTTTGCCATTAAAGTGGAATTATTTATTGAAAACACAGTCTGGTGTTTTTGCAGTCAGGACCACTTAACAGTTCGATGTAATTTCAAATATAAAAACATATGAACAAAATTAAAAACTGAGGGATGTAATTTTATGTATTCATCAGAACTAATCTCTGAAACAAGATTAAGTACTGTTTCATGTTCCAGTGATTCAGTATGATGTTTGAATGGCTCTTTCCATGGTGGGAATGGGTTGTGCAGTTCTGAAACAATTTTACATTCTCCCTGTTCTCAAGATTATCTTCAAATACAAGGTATTGATTTCAGTGGTGGTAAATGTGTACAAAACTGGTGCAGTATTATACCTTATTTTCAAATGTGAAGAACTTAGGGCTACTTCCTCAGCAGGTATACATCAATATGATTTATTAGAATTCAAAGAAAGAAAGTAGAATTATGTTAGTTAGCTACTCACAGGCTTTGAGGTTGCAAGATATCATTATGATCCTGCAAGTTGTAGCACCTCAGCTATAAGTCTCAGCAGCAGGTCTGTAATTTCTCCTGAAATTGTCATATCCCTGGAAAGACCTTTAGACATAACAGTACAGAGTAGAAGATCCAGCACCTCACTGTCAATGTGGCTAATTATTCACTGGGTGGGTTTGCTTTTTAAGGGCTTTATTTGCAGTTAGATCTTAGGTATCTCTTTCTTTTCAAGAGAAAATTACCCCAAACAGTCTTTTGTAATGCCTTTTCCTCCTATACTAAAAAGGGAACCATAATCAAAAACATCCTTTACGTTTAATAGTTTTCCTTGCTTTTCTTTTTGATAAAACGAGCAGCTTGCTCATTCTTAGCTTTTCATGGTAACACATGCCTTTCAGACCTCAATGCCTTTTTGTAGGACTTTCTGACTACTTTTTGATTTGTCAGAGTCCTCTCTTAAGTGTGGATACGAGAACTGCACATGGTATTCCTGTGATGATTTTATTTTTGCTATAAACAGAACTAATATCACCTTCCTACTCCCACTTCATATTTTCCCTGCTTAGGCTTCAGGGCTGACATTCACTCTCTAATTGCATCATCCTACTGCAGGCTCGTGTTCAGTTAATTATCTACCAAGACCCCGACTTCTTTTCATGTTGCATCATTTTGAAATACTTTGTCCAATCCTGTCTGTATAAACTATGCTCTTTGGTCCTTAGATGTATGATTGCAAATTTATCTGTATTAAAACAGGATATTCAAATCAGCCCATCAGATCATTCTCTACAATCTACATCTGTCTAATTTACTACTCCACCAGTTTCACTGACTTCCAAAACCTGCTAACCACCATCTTACTTTGTCTTTCAGTTTGTAGGTAAAAGGAGTAAGCAACGTTTTGCAAATAACAAACCCCTGTTGAATCCTGCTAGGACCCTCCCTGAAGGTTCCTGTTTTACAGCTACGCTGTTGGGTCATCGTGGGTATATTTGTATTCCGCTTAACATGGGTATGAATAGTAGAATGTAATACAAAACCATGTGTGTATAATATTATAGGAAATATATGATGAGTTACATGGCTCCCCCATCAGTGTACTTCTCTAAGGATGGATTAGATTAGTTTCTGTTTAAAATTACATATGTAGACCTGATCTCACACAGGAAAGGGAATAGACCAGATGACTTTAGCAATCTCAGTATGGCTTTCTTACAATTCAGTGCTGCAGTCTTTGCATGTTGTCCAGCTGCTATTACTTAAGGGAAAAGATATGAAATTTAATTGTCAAATTCTTTCTGTGCCTAGTGTCTCAGCATATGTACCTGTTGGCCTTCTTCTGGAGACCTGCCTGGTGAATGCTCAGGTTGCCAGGACAGGAACAGAAACGGGAGTGGGATAGTGCAGCCTCAGAAAGAAAAGGGGTTTTAACAAAGTACTTGAGACAGTGCTCTTGCTTACAAGGACTCATTTTTAATGCTATCATTAAATAGCCACTGTGTTTCTCAGCATGTGCTGCTTTTTCTTTATAGCTGAATAATGTCACACAAATTAAATGCTACCACTAAGTTTGGCAATGAAGGAGCTACAGATGCACTATCATGGGAGAAATGTATGGCTGGGTAATAATACCAGTAGCAGAAAATAGAATCTGTCATGAAAGATAAATTAACTAAGACCCAGGCCATGTGACCTTGCCTTTCTACACTAAATTGCATTTACTGTTCTTTGTTCAATTGCAACCTTAAACAAACGTTGATAAATAAAGAGTGCACACTGAGTGAAGTCCCAGTTTTAGTAACAAATTTCATAAATGAAATAATGTTTTGCTTTGTCAGTGTATTTACTTGTTTTGTAAGCAGTTTTTTATTAAATTAGATTGCATAATTTAGGAAAATAAAATGCATCTTGACAATTAAATGCCAAAGCTGAAAGAAAAGGCACCTGGTAACTGCTGCATAACAAAATAAAGCATTTACATGGTGACACATAACCAGCACTAATGAATTTATCATGCCATAAATGGATGACTCTGAAAGAACAAAGAAACAGACAAAATGCATATTAGCTATATGGCCAAACCACAAGGACTTAGTGAACAAAGTCATTTAGACTAGTGAACTCTATTTTAGCACTGATAATTCAATGCGCCTAAAATACATGCAGCTAATCCTGTGTTCTGCACTCTACAAGTGCAATGAAAAGACATACACAGATGGAAAAAAGACTCCTCACCATGACTGTTCATGCAGGTTAGCTGTTCCACTCATGCAGGCTACATACAATAAAGAGGTATGGCTTCTGTACAGCAGTCCCTGAGTGACCAGAAATAGCTGGGTGGCAGAATGAATAAATGAGCTCCATCACTACCACACTCTTCATATAACTGTCGTGATCTTTAGTGTACCCTGACCCTGCTTATCCAGGTCAAGCTAATGGCACTGTGTTAGACTAGTGACACTGGCTCTTGATTGTGGGTGGGGAAAGTCACACTGGAAGCAAAATCTTACATCTTACCTGAACTAACATTATAGGGAAAATGTATTTTCTATCTAGTGGAAATAAAAAAACTAAAAGCTATATAAAAAACCATTATTGTTTTATTAGTACTTGCTGTAATTAGTCTCATTATTACTTAAAATCTTTGCATCACTGCTTTGTAGTGCCAATGTGCCTCAAATACTTTATAAATAGTTTTCTTGTAAAAACAAATTGTCTTTCCAAGGGTAAAATTAGACCATTTGTTTGAGAGTTGGTTAATACCTTGTTTCAGAGTACCAGCCTATTTAACAAACTACATCCACACACAGTAAATTTCAACTCTAGCTTAAGGATCTCTGGTGTTAAAGAACATGTTTAGTCTTACTTTGTGTTCCAAGTCAGTTCTTTAATTTCTGTCCTGAATATAGCATTAAGCATGTGAAGTGCTTTCCTCATATAGACTTAAGTGCCTGCAATTCCTTCTTCCATAAACCGTTGTCTTCACAGGATAAGATGGTCAACTAACTGTTGCAAGACTCAGCTGAACATTGTTTGTAGAGACTGTGTGGAATATTACACTCAAGAATTATAATTGAATTGCATGCTTAGGCACAACATTTAGTTGCCATGTTGCCTGTTGTAATGTTCTCTGAAGTTGAATAAAGTCTTCAGACCATCTTGCTAATCAGAATGGAGGAAGACCTCCTACTTTTCTGGAGTGGAGCAGCTGCTAGCAACAAAACCTAAGTGCCTATGTGTAGCTGCAGGACAATAGAGAGGTTACTCCACCTAGAGGAAGATAGATAAACTATAGCATATGTTACAGGGCATTCTGGAAGAAATCTTTCATGCTGGAAAAATCAGTATCATTTAGCTGTTACTATCCCTTGCTGTATATCAGAATCAGATAGGTAAATTTATAATCAATCATAACATCATCTTACCAGATATTTGTGGGTTTCCTGAACTATGCAGTAATAAAGATATGAAAAATAGAGGTGAAATGCAGTGTGAACCTTAGAACAAATATCCATGCTTTAAAGGCCAGGTTATATTGAAACTCTCTGCCTAGTGATAAGGGACATACTATGGTGTGCAGAAATTACCCATATCCACAAAACGTTCACACTTGCTCAGGAATGCAGAGTACTGTTCTTGTCCTTCCTGTGGGCAAGCAGGATAAAGACAAAAAGAGGTTTATGGTTTGTTTGTCTATTCATGTTCATTAAAAAAATCCCCTTGATGCTGATTCTCTCCCATTGCTTTAGTCAGCAGACCTGCTGAATATCAAACCACAGCTGGTCAGGAAGTTTCCAACTACCAAGCCTGTCCTTTGAAGCCAAAATGATGAACCACAGAATATCAGAGTAAATAAACTTTGGATGTATCAGAAGCAGAGCATATTTTTGGCCTTGTTTCCTGACAGCTCACCAGGCAGCTGTTTCAGAAGCGGGATTATGAAGGTCCGCAGCTCTGGTGAAGTTTTGTTCAGGACCTGCAGCATGAAGCTTCTTGCTGCAGAGCCAAAGAGGCTCATTACAGGGCTTCAGTTCCTAGCTCCCCTGGCAACCCTCAGTGCTCCCACTGAATCCAGAGTGGGTAGTTTCCTGGCATCCAGGCCTGCTCCTCTGATACTGAAGAAATACCCATGCTACCCTCAACGTGTGCACAGGAAGACCTCCTAAAGCTGAAGATGGTCTAAAAACTGTAAGGATGTGAGGAAGGGGCAGGAGACAAAGCAGATGTTTGCTCTGATCTGTTCCATACAATAGAGCAAACCCACTTATACTTTCTGGAATGAAAGCATGGAGCATTTCTTTCTAGTGGAATTTTTTTAGATAAGCTTTTACTGAAATTATTCCAAACACACACAGGCACACACACAGAGGAATTTCCTGTAAAGGTAATTTCTATATGAAACCATCTTTTTTGCTGTTAACACAGGTTCCTTAATAGTTCATTTAGGCTGCAGAGGCAATGTTAGCTTTGCTGAGGCAGACATTGCAGCTTGCTGTGGGAACTGCCATTCCCAAAGCAGGAAAGGTGTGTGCTCAAGAGAACACCAAGCACTTTTTT